GGGAGGGGGAGTTCGGGCTGTGGCTGCTCCTGCCAGCCAGGCAGGGATTGGATTCAGAGCAGAGTTCTTCACCCATTTTAAAATCAACTTTCACATCAGCTGCCTGGAAAAGCCCGGGTGACTTTTGCTGGAGTGGCCACGGTGGTTTTCCCTTACAGCCAATGCAAAAATCAGAGCAGGGTGACATTTGCAGTGTAGCCCTTTGCATGCTGGCATTGATCTGCTTGTAGGCACGGGGATATGGACATTTAAAAGCCCGATGCCAGCAGTTAGGTCAGTGAGGGCTGTGGAACACAAGCAGATAAGCCACAGGATCACTAATGCTGCACCATGTCCCCTCCAGACCTGGCTCACGCAGATGAGCCAGCGGGACAGGGCACACACCAGCAGGCTCAGCACCTGAGGACACAACCAGCTCCTAGTAAGCACACACAACACCTTGTGCACACTACAAACCCATCCAGAAATCCACCTACCACCAGGACATGTGCATGGCACACTGAGAAGAACCAAGCCTTGTGCTCAAGAGCAAATTCATCCCCCTGATCGTGGTGTCCCAAACATCTCCCTCAGCTTGGGTGCCTGGAGGCAGCTGAGCAGAGACCAACTGCATCCCTCTTCTGACTGGCATCATCCTTCCCTCAGGTCACCATGGGCCTGTGAAGCAAAGGCTGGACTTCCTCAGATCTGAGGGAATGGGAAGGGGCAGCAGGATTTGAATTAACTATTTATTAAACAAAGCAAGACGTTGAACCAGTGGTCATCAGGTAAACAGGTCCAACCTCAACAAACTGTGTATGACAGAGAGCACTGAAAATGGTTGACAACTCAGTAGAGCCCACAAATTCCCTTGCTAAAGGAGAACCACTCCCTGGTATCCCCAAGTGCTCTCCCTGTTGCATTTAAACCACCCAAATTTTAACCACACTTCCATCATCTCCTGCTTGCCAGGATATCTTGTACTTCCAACCACAACTTTTAAATGTTATTAGTACAGAAAGAAAAATTCATTACCTTTGCCATTCACAACTCAGTACAGCCTTCCTGTCACCTCAAATGTCAGTGCTGTTCCCCTCTTGCTAAAGGCCAGGGCTTGGCTCTGCCACAGACAACACCTCAAGTTCTTGATGCCTCAGCTCCTACCTTCCCAGCCCACTCTCCACAACAAATGGATTTCAGCTTCAACCTCCCTCTCTTTGATAAGCAGTCAGCTTCATCCTCCAAAGCTGCACCTTCATTTTCCCCTTCCTCTCTTGATCCACCCTTAAAACACACCCTGTGTCTCTTAACTTACCAAAACAAATTCCTCAGGACAGAGAGCAGGAAAATGCAGGTGATGATGACACCGAGCAATTCAGTATGTAACCATGTGTGGGAGCCAACATGAGAGTGTGCTGTGTAGCAAACCACCTTCACTGTGGGTGATGGGCTTGGTGACAGCCACACCTTTGCTTCTGGACATGCTCAGAAATATTGGAAGAACTGGATGAGTAATTTTCTTTTGGCTCCTGGAAAGGTGTGAGGCTTCCTCAGAGATCCTTGGTGAGGCAGAGCAAGAAGCAAACTCTGAGTTTTGAAGAAAGCAGAAAACACATCCAGGCCAAGGAAATTAAAAAGAAAAGAGAGAAAAATAAAAGCAGAAGAAAAGCAGCAAGGAGAGAACAATATCAGATATTGATCTGTGTATCTTAGTGGAGTGACAGAAAATATTAATACAGGGTGTAAAACAAACCCATTTTATTCTCACCCTGCATTTGCTTGTGTGAAGAAGCATCGTGATAATTAGGTGTTTGCATTTTACCTGCAAGCCTGGCTGGGGCTGGATAGGCTGCAGAGAAATGCTGAGGACAAAGCAACAACCACAAAACCCCAAGAGCTGTTGGTGACTTCCCAAGTATTGTCTCTGATGCACTGAGCGAGGCACCGACCTCCTGTGGCTCTGCCCAAAACCCCAGGCAAGTCAGCACCCAACCCAGAACCACAGCTCAATTTACTGCATTGGTTCAGCACCTGAGGGACAGGACTAACCTGGATAAGAAAATAAAAAGCATTTTAAACAACTGTGTTGAGTTTTTTTTTAAAACAAACAAACAACTTGCTGGTTTTATTTTGACAACAATAAGATTTAGAAACATCTCAACATACAGAACTCAAAAAAAAAAAAAATCAATTAATTTACTACAGAGGAAAAATGCAGTATATACAAGAACTAAACATCCTGTAAGTTTACACACAAGCCAGGCAGTAATAAATTTCATTAAAAATATACCAACCATGACCTGACTGATTCGACATTGCCATTTGTCCCATTATTAAAAGGCACAAGAGACTGAGCAATGGAAGTGTTCAGCATTACATCCATTGTTGTCAGTAAATTAATCAAGATTAGCATAAAAAATTATTAAACACGTTTCATATTCACATGTAGCTCAGTAAGGAATTTTTTCTTGGAAAAAGTACGAAAATACAGCTGAAAGACAAACATATAAATATGACATCTCAGGACACAAAAGCTCTTCCTAGAAATCTACCTTCAAATCTCCCCACAACAGTTTTCATGTCGACGTATCCATTGGCAATCATTCCAAGCAAGATTTAATGATCCACAAGCAGTGAGTGGGTCCTGGCAGCCTCACGATACCACAGCAGCCTCACCGAGCCCTCCTGCTGTGTCTTGGGTTGCCAACACACCGAGAGCAAGGAAGCTACAGAGGTATCAACCTGCTGCCAACCCCACCCCTGGGCTGGCTCCTGAACACCTGCAGCCTGTCAGAGCCAGCACAAGGGGATCTGGCTTTTTGGAACCCTATTTGAGGCTTCCCAAGTCACCCCGGGTAGCACATGCAGCACCCGGCTCCGGCAAACTCGTGAGGAGATCTCTGCTCTGCTTCTTCAAACAGCCTCTCGCTCAGCTTGTGCTCTGTGATGATGTCTTCCACCCGAGTGATGTACAGCAAGGACAGCAGCACACCCAGGAACTGCAAAAGGAAGGGGCAACCTCAAGTCAGAGAACACACGCTGCTTACCTACAGCTTCCTACAGCTGTGTCTACAAACGATGTGTTCATACGTCAGATACACGGGCTGGCATGAGGTCCCTAGACAGGCAGAAACTCACTTTGCTCTTCTTTGGCATGTAGGGGTATAAATTGATCATTTTTGTGAAGAACTGCTCAGCCTGGAGAAGAGAAGGCTCCAGGGAGACCTTATAGTGGCCTCCCAGTACCCAAAGAGGCCCCAGGAAAGCTGGGGAAGGACTTTTCACCAGTGATAGGACAAGGGGCAATGGTTTTTAAACTAAAAGAGGGGAGATTTAGGTTAGACATCAGGAAGAAATTCTTCACCATGAGGGTAGGAAGGCACTGGAATAGGTTGCCCAGGGAGGTTCTTGTGGAAGCCCCATCCCTGGGAATATTCAAGGCCAGGTTGGATGAGGCTTGTGCAGGCGTGGTCTGGTGGGAGGTTCCCATGCCCATGCAGGGGGGTTGGAACCTGATGATCTTTAGGGTCCCTTCCAACCTTCACCATCCTATGGTTCTAGGAAAAGAGCTAATACAGCAAAAAAATTATCACCCTTGTGCCTTGGAGCATTAGAAAGTCTTAGTGGATGCAGCTAGGAGGACTCAAAAAAACCCAAGCAAAAGCAAATTACCCCATCAAATCCTGCCATACATCACAGCAGTGCTACTAAATGACCAGAATGCCACCTCAGCTTATGCATTATGTTCTATTTAAATTAAAAAGGGGTAATTAAATGGCATTTTGCATCCCACAGCTAAAGCACAGACCCCCTTCTCACCTGAGGCAGCAATATGCCAAGCAGCACACCAGCCATGATGCTGTAGTTGTCCATGAACCAAATGAGCACTGCATTTGTGCAGCCACGGACATAGATCACGTCCTGGACACTCAGTCGCTGCAAAGCAACAGAGCAGGTGATGAAACAGGCACTGGCAGATGACACAGGAACACAGGCCAGTTCAAATTTCAAGGAGGCAAATCTGATCCTCCTTCCTACCTCTTTAATCCCACTGAATTTAACAGAGACCTCATCATTAACTCTTCCTCCTGCTTTAAATTGTTCCACACCCAAACAAGCTTTTCACTGTTTTAAGCCTTTTTTTTAATTTGCAACTACTTTTCTATTAAAAAAAAAAAAAAAGAAAATCCATCCAGTTCTTGCTTCACACCACTTGGGAAGTAGAGAAATCTCTCTGTAGCTTTTACCTCTGCCTCCAAGCTGAAAGAGCTGCAGTGGAAAAACATTAAATTGTGGACCAAGGGCTTTGCAACAGGCTCTAAAAAAGGCAGGAACAAGAGGATTTGGGACTGAGCCCTGCAAGCTACCTGGCACCCTGACCCCAGCCCATCATATAGAAAAGCACTCGAGGCTGCAGAGGGTCCTAAGCAGATGAATGGGGTAAAGTTAAGCATATGCTTAAGTGCTCGGGGCCAGGCTGGAGCGTTTAGGTGATTAAGCCATAAATCAGGGAATCTAAATGAGGACAGATCATATGTAAAGATAACCAGTAATCCCCAAAATCAACAGGCAAGGTGGGCATTGTGTGCCAAGGGCCTCAACTGGGGAGAGAGGCTTTTCAGAGCAGCCCCCTGAACCAGCACTCCAAAGCCAGGAGTGGAGAACTTGCTGCAGATCCAATTACCCATTTCCCTTCTTAATGACTCTGCAATTAGTGCCTTGACCCAGCAGCCTTCACTCTGGAGTCACCAGGGCTATTCCCAAAGGGGAAAACAGGAGGAGGAGGAGGCCCTGTCCTGCTCTCTGAGGGAGGAGAAAGCTGCCAGCACAACCCGGGAAGTCCTGCTCCTCTTCCAGGAATAATTATTACAGGCTTAAAAACACAACAGGCACCGCTGGGATATAACATACCTAGAAAGAGTTGAGTTTGCTTTAGTGAAACTGATTCTGTCAGTGAGAAACTTTGGGGTTTAAGTATTAAAAGCTTTCCCCAACTCAGGTCACCACTTAAAGAAGTACTGAAGCATCTTTCTTTGTATTAACTGTGCAATTAGGGGGGTGAGCCCTGGGAAGGAACAAGTCAAGCATCTCAAAACCAAGGAATTATAGAAGATACAAGGAAGGAAAGATACCACAATCAAGGTGGGTTTTTTTCTTTTATATATATATATATATGAAAGCTATTCCAGATAAAATTGCTTTAATTATTAATTTAATTGTCTGGTAGATTTAAGAATGCAAAACATCACTTTGTAACTGACAAAAAAAAAAAAAAAGCCTGCAAAGCAGCACAGCCCTTTGACAAGAAAGGTGGATGTGTGGTTATGGTTATGGTGGATGTGTGGTGGATGGTGGCCATGTTACCTCTTTGCCAATGGTTTTGTATCCACACATGGTGTTCACAATGCCTGTCTGAAAAGAAAACAACACATAAGAACTACAGCAGAAAACAAAAATCACCAAAAAAAAAAATTCTTTTTACTCTTCTTGTGTTCAGCCAGCTCATATAAAAGCAAGAACGTGGGGTTACTTGCCCATCCCACACCGATTTCTTCCCACCATCCCCAGGGGAAGACATAGATAGAGCTCTACATGGTTCTAGGAAATCAGTACTGGCAGCATGTCATGACACAAGACACTTGAACCACATCTATCCAGCAAAACCAATATGCACCCCAAGGAGCACAGACTCTTCAGCCCATCTGAAACCCAGCGTTAGGCAACAGGACACCACAGCACAAGGCAACCTATGAAACAGGGACAAATCCATTAGAAACACAGGTTTATAGGCATCTGGGGACTAACTTCTACCTGCTACACCCCTGCAAATACTTAATAAATATTTTGACCTGGAAATAGTCCCTTCAGAGTCCCCCCCAGGATGAGCCTGGCTCATCTCAGCACAGGGTTTTTTTTCCAGAGGATCAGAATCCAACCTCCAACATTAACAGGAGTTTTCCATGACTACAAAGTGAATGAGTCATCACAAGCAGTATCTGTAGCTTTCCAGGACAGAAACCAGCCTGTATTTGGAAGCATTTGTCAAACACAGAAGATGTATGCATCTTCTGGTTGGGTTTCTTCCCAAGGCAGCTGGCCACAGAGCCACAGTGCCAGTGCCATCCTGCCCCACAAATGTACCTGCCCCTTGGGCACATCAGCAGCATCCCAGGGTGACAAAGCCACGAGCCTTGAGGTGCTGCAGCACCTGGCTGAACAGCCTGCCCTTAAATTTGGAGTCTGCTGGTTATTCTGGGGGCTCCTCCCCACCTTTCCATTAATTTCCCTGAGCTTAATCCTTCGCAGTCCACCTTTAGGCTGCAAGCACTCTAACCTCCTCCTTCCCCAGTTGCCAATGAAGCATGTGGAGAATATACTCTTTCTCTTGGAAAAGCTTTTGCTTGAGCAACAGAAAAACAAGCAGTTATTTTAAATGACCAGTAAAAAGCCAGGCTGCTCTTCACTAGACAGCTCTACCTTCCTGTACCATGAACTGAGGGCAAGACCCTGAGCTCTTCAGCCCAGTGCAGCTGTGGATCAGCAGGATACTATTTTCACACACACCACTTTCTTGTTCTTAAACACCTTAGACTTAAAAAGCATAACTGTTTAGCTTTGGTTTCCAAGAATAAATCTCAGCTCAGCAGAGATTTAAACAGACTCCTTCTCATACACAAAAAACGTGCAAGCGCACGTAATAAACACCTTCAGATGATACACATATCTCAGCAACACCTAAGCAGGATTACTGACTCAATTACTGCATTTATTTGCCCTTTTTCTTTCAATTAAACAGCCATGCTGGAGGCAAGCATTGAAAGGGCAGCACATTCAGGCACCAGGAGGTTTTCCATCACGAGCTCTGCTGTGGCTGCCCATACTCAAATTCTGTCTCCTGCTCAGACCAAAGACCAAAACCCACCAAAGGCAGGGGTTGCCCATATTCAATTAAACTTAAAATTGTGTTGCTTGAATTGCAGACTGCTTCTTTATCAGATTCAGCATTATATCCATTCCTCAAAAGAAGGGTGATGGATTAAAACTGCTGACATTTATATCAAACGCATTTACACGGCACTTGATGCCTGTGCCTCCTGCTGCCAGCACCAGTTTATACCAGTCCACTGTAGACTGAGCAACTGGTCCAGACTCCAGCTGACAGGAGGATTTTGCAGGGGGGCAAGGCAGGTGGGCTTCAAGGGTGGTTGAGGGCAGAGCAGCAGCTGGACCCTGAGGCCATCTGCCCACACCTCTGGATTTTTCTGGATGACAGGGTTGATCTGTTTGGTTTTTAACTGACAACATTTTAATTTCCAACCCCCACCCACAGAAGCAATCAGGGCCCAGGCTTCCTGGTGAGGCAGGAGAAGCAAACCCTGGGGAAAACACCAGCAAATCTTCAGGTTAAGCAGCCCAGGTCCAGGCAAGCCATGAGGTTAGAGAAGCTCCCAAGATCCCTTCTGCATTTTGAGCTCTGCAGAGTGGGGCGGTAACAGAGACCAGCATCCAACCAATGACTTTCTCCTTGTCAAGCTGTCAAGACCCACAGATCCTGTTTTCAGGAACGGCCTGTTTTCCTTTGCTTCTTCCCCCCCCATCCCTTCTCAAGGAAGGGACCTTCTCAAGGGAGACACTGACATGTTGTGACTTACCTTATTTGTGATGCAGCACGTGTAGGGGACGCCGCAGGCCAGCGGTCCTGGAGCTGTACAGCTGTGGTACACGTTTTGGGACCAGTCTCTGTAATCTTCCCCACCACAGCATTTAAACTGGGAGGAAAAAAAAAAACAACAACAAACAAACAAATAAACAAAACCAAAAGGAAACACAAAAGGCAAAGTAAAAATAAAAATCGTATCTGAAGAGAAACTCTTCTAATAACTAGAAGATGAAGTCACAATAAAGCAATTTCAAGAGCGTTGAGCTACCCAGCATTATGTCATGTCATGCAAGGCACATATGAATGTATGTGATACAACTGAAAAGAATTATAGATTCTGAGCCACTCATTTGTGCCCAGGTGGTCAAGAAGGCCAACAGCATCTTGGCCTGCATCAAAACCAGCGTGTCCAGCAGGAGCAGGGAAGTGATCGTGCCCCTGTACTCGGCCCTGGTGAGGCCACAGCTTGAGTATTGTGTTCAATTCTGGGTGGGCACCACAGTATAAGAAAGACATTGAGGTCCTGGAGTGTGTCCAGAGAAGAGCAAGGAGGCTGATGAGGGGTTTGGAGGGCACGTCCTATGAGAAGAGGCTGAGGGAACTGAGGTTGCTAAGTCTGAAGAAGAGAAGGCTCAGGGGAGATCTTATCACTCTCAACAACTACCTGAAGGGAGGTTGTAGAGAGGCTGGTGTTGGTCTCTTCTCCCAAGTAACTAGGTAAAGGACAAGAGGAAATGGGTTTCAGTTGTGCCAGGGAAGGTTTAGGTTGGATATTAGGAAAAATGTCTTTACTGAAAGAGTGGTGAGGCATTGGAACAGGCTGCCCAGGGAGGCAGTAGAGTCACCATCCCTGGAGCTGTTCAAGAAGCATTTAGATGTGTCTCTTCAAGATATAGTCGAGTGGTTGTGGTAGATGGATTATGGCTGGACTCAATGATCTTGGAGGTCTCTTCCAACCTTGATGATTCTATGATTCCATTCTATGATTCTACTACCCAGGGTGGCAGAGCAAAGTACTCAGCACAAAGCTCCACCACCCATCTTTAACGACTTGGAAAACTATTTGTTCAGGTCAGGGCATCATTAAGCAACATTTTTACATTCACTCCATCTCAAGTTGTAATATACTTCTTCATTCCTTTTAAGGATGGTGGCTACACTTCTAAAAGACTCTAAAAGACAGAAGCGTTGCTAGGGGGCATGAAAGAAACCCCACCAAAATGTTCTGGGTGTAATTCACTAGAACTAAGATCTGGCAAACAAACACTGTTAAGTTTACACTGACTTTATACAAATATTCACTTTGTATATGAAACGAAGGGGAAAGGAGCAGTTTATTTAACCACTAAAATGCACATTCACTACATCATTCAGGGCAGTGCATGGAAACTTAAAAGCATCATGAAGTCTAATGACAAAATTTCCTCAGGATGGTTTGCTTCTGACAGACTTTCCATGCTGAACTTTGTTTCCACAAGCAGGCTGCCATCTCCATAACAACATCATAAAATAGACATATCACTTCCTAAGTTCATTTTAAATTTTTTTAATCACTATTTGGCACGGTCACTGACACCACACGGGCCCTGACATCACATTTCTGAATGTTTTCTGCTTCTTCTGCAGCCTCTGAGCTGCATGGCAGAACTCTGCAATAACCCAATAAACAGCTCAAGACACCAGCCTTTAAAAAAAAAAATGAAGGCCATGAGTCAACACATGCCATGAAGTCATGCTCAGCTGGGCTCAACACAGTTTCTGAGTTTTAATTAGAGATACATCCCCTTCCACGGCCATTTCCTTTGCATAACCACCTTGTGAAAGAGCTTGGAATGTTCCAACAGGCTAATTACCATCTGGTTTCTCTTGATCCAGTGCCTCCTGTTAACAAGATGCTTTTGAATGTTTCGGACCAGCCAGTAGAAACACTCAGGGTAAGAACTTGGGTGGAATTGAGGCTGAATTTGCCTGAATCCAGCTGTGGAAACTGGCAGAAGCATAAATGTTTGCAGGGTCTGGCCTTCAGCATCCCAGTCACACCTACTAAGGCATAGGCTCTGTTTTGCCCCCAGTTCTTGTGGTGATTTAGGGGGCCTCAAATGCCAGCTGGGATGCTGGAGAAGCCCTGCCCACAGTGACACCACAGTAGATGACAAAGGAGATCTCATCCCCCTCATCAGTGAGAATGTGACTGTCGTATCACTGGAAAAACTGTGGTCAAGGACCTGCCACACTTTGGCACTGAAATGGTCCCAGAAAATAAAAAATAACAAACCAAACCTGCTTTTGAACAGAATCCATGATGTTCTTGAAGTCTAAATCATCGTAGTAATTCTCAATTCCTCTTCTTATATTATCGTTCAAAAAGTTGATTGTCTGGGAGGAGGAAATAAAACAGGAGTCATGGGTTAAACACACCAAAACAAAATCAAAAGAAAGGGCTGAAGCAACAAGTGTAACTGATGAGCACAAGAGGAAAGGCTGTTTTATTTGTTTTTAAAGAAGAAACAAATTCCAGGTAAAAATTCATCATCCCATCCCTTCTCAGGAAGCAGCCTCACAGCAGGTCCTGTGCTGAGACCTGCTGACAGTGTGACACCTCTCCAGAGAGGTGCTGCTTCTCTGAGACTCTCCAAGCATCTCCCAGAGATGGTCCCTTTGGCCCCCAGGCTGAGAAGAGGAAGGCAGGATTCCTTCCCCTGGGCACTGGGGGTCCCCAGCATCCCCTGGGTGACAGAACAGCCAGGTTGGGTGGCAGGTCTTGGCACCAGGGTCTGCACCACTCCCTGGCTGGCAAGAGCTGACTCCTTCCCTGCTCACCAGCCTCCATGGATTTTATTTTTCCTTTAATTTTGTTTCCACCATTTTACTCTCCAAGGAATCCATAAATGCCAGATAAAAGAGTTTAACTCCACCTTAGCAAAAGAAGTGGAAAGATCTCATATCTGTATATTTTACAGTCATGGTTTTGAGAAACAGAGGAGAGGAGTGGTGGCAGATATAAAGCAGTATCTCCTCAGCTTGGCACATTAGAAATAACATCAACAAAATGGTTTTGAAGTTCAGAAGATGAGACAAATATATATATACACACACATATATTTAGTTTTCGACATCCAGCACCATCACAGCAAAAATGCAGACTGAACATAACCAGGATGTAACAACTTTCCCTTCACCCCAGCTGCTAAATGGGTCCAAGCTAAATCCTTGCAGAGGAAAAAAAGGGAAAAAACAGTGAGACATGCAAAATAATCAGCATTTAAATGGAGGCTATTACCCTAAGCTTTTATTAAATATTTCCTTCTCCTCCCTATATCATCCTCATCTTCTCAGACACCCAACACACATGCTGTGAAGACACTTGGTGCACAAAACCCAGCAATATGTTTCCTTTGTTGGAAAGCCAACAGCAACCCTTCCTCACCCTCTCAGCAAATACCACCTTGGGCATCTGCTTCATCATCTACCAGCCACATTCTCCCCATCCTGGGATGCCCACACTCCCATGCCAGGCAGGCTGACCTGTTCCCTGCAGATGAGCCAGGTGCTCCCACCAAAATTCAGAATAAATCTTTGCAAGAGGTCAAGGCAAAACTTGTGGAAGTGGCTGACAGGGGCCTCTAAAAATGAAGGCAACTCTTAAGTATGTACAACTTCTTTTTGTGGAAATGAGATCAGTAGGATTGGGATGGGGAAGGAAGAGCTCTTATTATTCAGCAGCTCCTTTTAATGCTCATGCTTTGCCAGATTAGGAAAAAAAAAAAAGCATAGAAATCTAGTACTTGCCATAGTGAACACATTTATGTTTTTAAAAGTTCTCCAGCAGGAAAAGCTGGTTTCTGTTTAGAAAAATAAAGGGGTTTGCACAGTTATAGAATGCTTGTAAATGACAGGATCTCCAACAGAAATTAATGATGTTGTTCATGGATGTAGGCAGGGAAGAGCTGTTCCTTAGGTCAGGTAAAACATTTTGGCCACCAAAAAAACTAACAAGAGTTTCCAAATTCAGCTGGGAACTTCCCAAACTAGTAGTCTGAGACCCAGAAAGCAAATGAGAAGAAAGCACTTTAATACATGAAGAGCTGGAATCCTAGAATCATTAGGGTTGGAAAAGACCTCTAAGATTATAAAGTCCAACCACCAACCCAACACCATCATGCCAAATAAACCATGTCCTGAAGTGCTGCTTTCAGGAAAGAAAACTGATTCATTTTGCCTGCAGGGCACATTCTTAATTACCAGGTTTTCTCCAAATTCTTTCATCTGCAATTCATGTCCAGAACGGATGGCAAATCCCACCCATCCCCAAGCCTGAAAGGCCCCAAAAAGTCTGGACCTGCCTTCAGACTCCAGAAGTTCATGCTCAGGAGACAATTTTAATGCCTTCTGTTGGCTCAGTAGCATAGCCATAACACCATGGACTGTGAGTAAGGTTCTTGGTGATGAAAACCTCAACACAAGCAGCTCACCTGGTTCCTGAAGATGAGGGCCACCACTCCACCAGTCAGCTCAATCAACAAGCAGATACCAAGGATGTACATGAACTGCAGGAAAACAATTGCAAGTGAGACCTTAAACAGAGCAAACCCTGATTACTCTCTCAATTAGTGTCCTCAAGTCTGTAACATTCAGTTACCAACACATTTAGCTTTCTGCCTGTGAGATGCCACTTTAAAGATAGAAAATTATGGTTCTGTTCTTATAAAACCACTTGTGTCACCAAAAAGCCTTTTTTTTTAACCTCACTTGAGTCATTCTGGGCTTTGCCCAACTGGCAAACATTATTTTTCTGCTTTGAATGGACTCAAAAGCAAAAGATGCATTCATCAAGCCAAGATACTTCTCTCCATAGCAGCATCCCAGAGCATCACATTAATGGACTCCTACAAACCACAGCAAACGTTGTGTTTTTATGCTTCCTACAAAGACAGCACTTAACTCTCTAGCTCTGATTTCCCAGGAAAAGCAGTGCTTGAAAATAATCCAAAGCACCTTCTATTATGCTGCCAGTGTTACAGGAATATTCTGGGCTGGGAACCTTCCAGTGTGCTGCTTCAGAAGAGGGAACTGAGCTGCACTGCATAACCCAGCCAGCTGAGCACGCAGGCTGCAGGATGGGCACTAATTGCACTTAATAGGCTCAGTGGTAAGAAAAATTGTATCTGCTAGCTCTCTATTCATTTACCTGTGCGTACATAAGCAAGCTCACAAATGCACACAACCACATTGTCTGCATCTGTGACTGCTCATCAAAGCACATTCAAAATGTGAGTTACACGAAGAAAACCATCGCAACACCACGAGGTAACTGCAAAGTTACCTTTTTATCAAACACTTGAGAAGTGTCTTTACAGCCCAAAAGGCTCTTGAGGAATAAAAGATGGCTGGCCTGTGAATTTAGCTCTGCTTCTTAAAAGCAAACTTCATCAGGAAATAACTCTTAGGATCTCTCATCTGAAAATAATCTCTAATGCTCCTCCCTGAAAGTTGGTTTAATTTTTGTGCTCTCAATCCCAGTATCAGTGTAACAAACTCACCGGACAGATGCCTTTTCTCCTGCTAAATCTGCAATCAGCCTGAGGATGAAACATCAGGGCCTTCCCTCAATTAAATACCCTGCTGGGTTTGCTGCCACAAGGGGAACAGAAAATGTCCTTGGCATCAGATGAGGACACATGACCACGCTCAGAATGAAGGAAGCCACTACTGCCCAAGGACAGCCTCCCAAGGAAATTCCAGCCTAATTTCAAAATCCACCATTACCTCTTGCTTTGTCCTACCTAACATCTTAGGTAACTAAGCTAACTAACTAACCTAACTATTTAGCATTTATTTAAACTGAACTGACATGAAGGTGAAATTTACGTTCTCACACTTCATGTATTAGTTCTATGTGCAACTTCCATCTGCAACCAGAGGAATTTCCCTAAAATTTGCCCTCTCAGAGGTACTGGAGAGAAAAACTTTGTCCTTTTCACTTCCCCCCTGAGGAGGACACTTCTCTCAAAGCCCTGTGCTGCTACCAGCTAATACTCTTAAGACACATTTCTCCAGCAGAGCAGCGTCCTCTGCGTTGAAACCAGAAGTATCTGGAGAACTACCAGAAACCACAGCTCATCTCTGCACCCCAGCAAGCAGGTTCATAGCTGTAGGAAATCCCCTCATATCAACGGGGAGAAGCTGCATCCAGACTTGACCTTTTCCAAGGAGGCAGAATGATTTCCCCTCCTCCAGTACAGCTCCCCTGAGCAGGGCACGTGCCTGTGGCGCGGCCGGAGCAGGCACGGAGGTGCCAGGCTGGTGTCAAATGGTGTGTCAACAGCTGAGTTTGCACAAGATCCATGCTGGCTGATAATAATCCACATTCCTGCGTGTTTTCCATGAAGTCCTCAGCTATTGGAAAGCTGGGTTTGTCAACGCCAGGGTCTGATCCTTGCTTGTCCCACCACCAGCAAGACAAGCTGCTCCCTAACCAGAGCATGGTTAGGGGACCTCTGCCCTGCAGCACCTTCAGATTTAATTAACATCAAAGCAGCCACTTTAATATATTTCAAGGCAGACATAGTTGTGAGTCTGAATTCAGGTGACACTCAAAAGCAAAAACCATGAGCCCTAAAAATGAAGAACAAGAAAAACCAACAACCCAACACTTACTGCTTTAAGAAGGCACAAATTGTCTCTTAAAGAAGCCAGAACACCCACAAAAGACACCAGGAACATGATAATGCCCAAAAGTATTAAAATAATTGCTGGGGCTAGAAAGGCACTTTCTAGAGTCTTGTACTTCTGTCTTTCAACTTCTGCATAAATTCCAACAGCGAGGACAAGGGCTCCAATCATCTAGGACACAAAAAGAGAACAGCACAGATGTTGACTCCTTCTCCCAATAAACACAGAGATGACATTTTTGTGAGGACACACTTCAGAATCAATGATAAACGATGAAACACTCCCATCAGAAGTATAGATTTAAAAAAAAAAAACAACAAAACCACACCAAAACCACACCTCAAAGGCAAAGTGGAAAAGAGCCAAGTTAGAAAAAAAAAAACCCTGAGATTTGTTTATCTCAAAGATATATTTAATAATGTTTTAAGATTCTGGAAGTTAAACAAATTGAAACCTACGTCACTGGTTGAAATGTCATTTATTACTCATCTGAGATGTGATATACTACATATACTAGCAAATGCACTGGCATCAATATTTCTCCCTCGTGTGCCTGTCTGTCCCTCCATGTACACACAACACCACATGTATACCACCATGTACACACAACATGTATCAACACCCCCAACACAAGACAGTTTCTAAGCAATCAAAAGCTTGTATGTCCCTTCCCATCAGCTCCGGTTGTATTTAGGCTCAGCAAATACAGACAGTGGATCCCATACTTCCACTCCTCCTGCCACTGGGGAAAATGAACTGGATTTAAACCAAAACCACTTTTTAAATGCAAGTTTGAAATTAGGGTGCTTTCTTGAGTGAACTACCAGACAAAGCCAACAAGCGAAACAAAAAGGGATGCATTTCACTTGACAAGGGAAGGATATTTTGATCAACAAAACTACAGCTAACTCAAAATCAACTGGTATCAAACTTAGGCTGTGCTGCAAAGTTGCTTTGAATTCTGCAGAATTAAACAACAAAAAATCCCACAACACTCAAGTCGTGAAAATCACAGTGGAAAAACTTCACTGCCAACTCCCACAGCCTAACACATCCACAGGGAAGAGCCCAAAGCAACAACTTCCCCAGTCTGCAAACCTCAGTCAAGACAACTCACCACACTGCAGCAGGAACCCCAAGTCTGCTCCCCACACACAAACAGCAAGGAGAGCTCATGATGTGTTTAATTGCCAGATCATGAGCCCAACAGTTGAAATATTTTTCCAATTATGGGGTCTCTAGAAATAAATAACAACTTACTGGAAGTTCTTTTTCTACAGGTAAGAATAAAAAAAACCAATCAAAACAACAAAACAAAGGACATTAAGTGAGGAATGTCACTTTTTGGAATTCCATTCAAAAAAAGAAAAATTTCAGAAGGGTTTACCCAGAAAAAGAAATATAACAAAGCTATTTAAAAAGCAACTTAAAATGTACAAGACCAAACTCAGGGTAACTCTCCCCCTTACAAACTCAGACATTGTACTGATTATGGAAGGCAAACAGAGAACATTATAGACAAATAATAGGTACCCAAGTTTAACATTTAGATGCTTCTCCTGCAGAACGACCATCAGGTTTTTTAATTACTAAACAATCAATTTGCAGTGTTGCCTTATTCTTTAAATAAGTCAATTATTTGGGTAATAAATTATACATTCCTTTTTAAGCAGATGACAACACAGATACAATCTGAAATTTTTAAACACAGCTACAGTAATCGAGGAAGGAGTCTCAGAAACATACAAACCAATTACAGGACATCAAATTGGTGACTGTACATGACTGTACATCAAATTGGGGACTGTATATGTGATTCAGAAGTTCTAGTATTATTGTCACTACTATTATTCTTTAAAAATAAATAAATAAATACATAAATAAAAACTAAAAACCTGAGATCTTTATGCCTGGACCACATCTATCCTGCTCAGAAAGCAGCAGATAATACAACTTAAAGAGAGACTCTGCTGTAAACACTGAAGTTCAGCATCTGCCTGGTAGATTTTTATTAAAAACAAAACAAAACACAAACACTGGACATAAATCACAGGGGTTGAATCTTGATGGGGATTATCTGAATTCCAAAAGTGTGTTGTTACTGAAATACCCTTCTCAACCATAGTTTTCCCATCAAAACATTCAATTTAAGGCAGTCTAAGGATTCAAAGGTGCCTGTAAGTAGAAATACAAGATGCATTCCCAAATTAAGAGCTGAAGAGATACGGACACATCTCTATTCATATAGATTTATATACCTATGTACCTCCACCCCCTTCCATTTGCATTTTGCTCAAGCACCCTCCAATGCACTTCTAGCATTTTAAGTGTAGAAAAATCTTAATTCCTGCCTCTCATTTTCCCCACAAAAACCAACAACAAACAAAATAATAAATTGACCCCCCCTGCCCACCCAAATTCCCACCCATTATAGCTTTTACTGCCCCAAAGTCCAAGGGGGCTGGTATCACATCCCAGAGGAACTATGGAATTAAAGCTCTCTCACAACCCAGAGGAGATAAACTAGGAGCTTCTCTGATGCCTCCTAGAAATACTCCTGCTCTGGATACGTTAAAATCATCGTGTCACTCCCCAGTAAGAGGACTACAAAATACCCCTGTAGCAAAACTCCCCCCCAAGCAGTCCTGCATCAACCCTCCTGCAACCCTCAGCCTGCAGAGGGCAGGTGCTGCAGGGAAGCAGGGAGGCTAAGCCAGGGATAAAACATCACCCCACGAATAAAAAAACTCAGACTGACCCATCATACAATAGACAAAAGTTTTATACAGAACCTTTATACAAAGCTCAAGTTTTATACAGAACCTGAAGCATAAAAATTGCTACCACAGCAGGGGGAAACCCACCTAAGCATGCAATTAAAATCCTCAGTCCTTCCAAGCAGCATTTATGCTTTTATTACCTGCTATTTATTAAAAAAAAACAACACACCAACATTTAAAGTTCTTAAATCTTGTTATTAATATGGCCAGACCAATAGCAGCAATTATTCAGGCCAAGCAGATGTGCTAACTTAGCAACCATCCCACCCATGTCTCTTCTCCGGGACCGTGCCCTCCCTTCCTGTGACCAGGGCTGGAAAAGCAACTTTTCCGCTCACAAATACACGTGCTGTTTACATCCTGCATCCCCCACAACAGCTCCCAGTTTGGCAATTCACACTGTGTCCACAGGAAAACACAACTGGCCTTAAATGAGTATCCACCAACAAATACCAGGGACTTGCTCCAGGGCTTTTCCAGCCTGGATGTTGCTTTTCCAAGAGAAAGGAAAACCATTTGTACCTAGAGCAGTGGTTTTAATCCCCTATTTACCAAACTTGTTCTTAAAAGAGGTGCCTGCTCAACAACAGCCCCTTCAGTTTAAAATGCTGGGTGTCATTTCAGCCAGGGGAGAAAAACACCATTACAGCCTCATTCACCAGCAAAGCAGCTGCCTGAAAAAGTCACAGTGTCAACTGTTTTTATCTTATTTTTTTTTTACAGAAGCCCTGGGTGACACGAGAAGAAGCCACAGCAGCAGCAGGGCCTGCAGCAAAGGTGCCCCCCAGCACCCCCAGTGATGCTACCACTTCCTTTCTGCTTCGGGATAAGATGGGTATCTCGTTCCTGGTGTTTTCTAAACAATCCTGGGGACTTGAATCCGGGTGTCCATCACTTGCAAATGTACTGGAGGATCAAGCAACAGCAGGGAGGAAACCCAACGGCCTCAGCCTCCCCTCCATCAATCAAAGCCCCCCAGAAAGAGGCGAAAGGACACAAATCACCCACAATTCAAGCGAAGCCAACGCTCCCCAGCCAAACTTTACTCCCATTTACACCAATTTAAAAATAATTTTTTAAAAAAAACACAGCCAGGAAGATGAACACAGCCAAAAAGTGAGCCAGACCGCTGACACTTCCAGCTTCACCAGGCTAGAATAAAAGGTGCTGCCGAGAGGAAACCCCCCCCCCTCCCCCCGACAAAGGGCTGACAATGTGTGTCCGGCTGCCCAGTGCCAGTCTTCCCGGAGAAAAAGCCCCATCCACCTCCTTCCCACAGCAAACCCCCTCCTCGGCACAGCCACCAGGCTGTTCCCAACAAAGGCAGAGCGTGGAGCGACCACCGAGGGTAAATAAAACCCTCGGGCTGCCTGGAAGAGCCTCTGTCCTGCGAGGGACGCTCAGAGAAGCCCCTTTTGCTGCTTCTTTTTTTTCCAGCCCACCAGCAACGGGTCCCTGGGTGCAGAAGGAAAACGTGGAGCACACAAACAGGCAGGGGGGCCCTTTGTGCAGGGCACAAGCACATGAAAAAGAGCACAGCAAGTTTCCCTTTTCTGACACCTGTGGAACAGCTGCTGTGGAGTGAGGCTGGAACCTTCAGGAGTCTGAACCCTGAAGGGGTTTTCCTTGCTTGGCTTGTCTGCTAAGGAAGACAAAAGATACCCCAGGATCCCCAAAAGCCTGAATTACGTCCAGACTCCCTGCACTTCAATTTCTGCTCATCCTTAACTCACAGCTTTAACCAGACCCCTACGGTCAAACCCGGTGGATCTTAAACCTCTCTTGCTAGAAAACCGACACTCCCACCTTGTAAATACTGAGTCTACTAAGGCAGAGAGACCAGCAAAAACCAGAGCTTGAGCAGCATTTAAACGGAAAGAGCCCGAAATGCCTAAGCATCCTGTACATCAGCAAAGCATCACCCCAGGATCCCAGACCCCGACGGCTCCTTCCAGCCCGGTCAGGGTGAATTCACCACGTCTGAGAAGCCAGCAGAGCTAGCTTGGGCCCGAAGGCTGACACTTTATCACTGGAAGGAGGCAGCACGGTGGGGTTTATGTGACAGCAGGCTGGAGACAGCAAGTGTGACACGCCCGGGAGCAGGAAAGCTGCGCAGGGTCGCTCCCACAAGGAGCCGTCCCACACGCCGATGCCTGCAGGGCAAAGGCTTTATTTGCCCAGCTCCTCCGGGGGAGGGGGGGGAAAGCAGTACTGAAACGCACGCAGGAACGATTTTTATGCGCCAAACTTTGAACCCCGTCCGCCAGAACCCGTCCGGGGAGGCACGGGGAGATACACCCACCCCCATCCCGGCAAAACCCCCGCTGCCCTTCGTAACCTTTTCTTCCCGGAGAGAGGAACACGGGACCCCCCCCCAGCCCCCCAAGCCTTT